GGAACGATGGTGTGGGACGGACAGAAACTTACCACACAGATGAGGAATAGATTCAATGAACCTTTGTGACCAAATGGGGTAGCCATATAAGCAAATACAGCCAACCCCAGAGAGCCTGCCTGCATTAGAAGGGAGACTGCTCCAGTCTGATTAGGAAGAAGAAAATGTTCGAGAAACAGGGTTAAGAGGGAGAAAGGAAGCAAGGACAGAGACGGGCGAGGAACAGGGAAAACACAACAACAACAGAAGCCCATTAGCAGTTGTAATTGTTGTCACAATTAAATTGGGTAGTACCGTAGTACCCAGGTAGCAACACAATCCCCTCGGGAGACTGAAAAAGACAAGAACAACAAAATCTTCGTAGTAATTAAATAAGTACGCACAGCTAACTAAAGGACATAAAGGCTGTGAGAATTACTTAATTAAAATTAAATAAATAGCATTGTTGTGGTTACTAGACACTAAACAGTAAAGTTGAGCAAACACATTAGTGACATAATTATTTATTATAATTTATTATAATATAACAAGTGGACCCGCCGAAGGCAAAAACATTTTGCAAAACACCCCAGCCATCAGTTGGACCCCTTCTTTGCAATGTACCCCTAGTGGACGCTGCCCAACTTTGCAAAATGGGCTGGCAGTCACCAAGTTTTCGTACGTGCAGTTGCAAAAGGCCAAGCAAATTTGCACACGCACCTGACAGGGGCATAACACAAACATGTCAGTCCAAAAGGCCATTCCAACTCTCTCTCTCTCTCTCTCTCTCTCTCTCTCTCTCTCTCTCTCTCTCTCTCGGATTTTGCTTCTCCTATGGATGGAAGTAGCCTCTCTCTATCTCTCTGTGTGCATGGCTGGAAAAGTCTCTCTCTCTCTGTCTCTCTCCCTTTGACATCGTTTAACAACAACAGATGATGGATCGTCCTTCTCCCACTCCCCCTCCTGCTGCTCCTCCTGCTCTTCCTCCTCTTCCCGCTGCTCCTTCTCCTTCTGCTCCTTCTCCCGCTCCCCCTCCTGCTGCTCCTCCCGATATTCCTCCTCCTCGTGCTGCTCCTCCTCCTCCCCCTGCTCCTCCCCCTGCTCCTCCCCCTTTTCCCTCCTCGCCCGCTCCTGCTCCTCCCGCTATTCTTCTTCCTCGTGCTGCTCCTCCTCCTCCCCCTGCTCCTCCCCCTGCTCCTCCCCCTCTTCCCTCCTCTCCCGCTCCTCCTCCC